CCATTATTTATTTTTTATTTTCACTGAAGGAGGAAAGATTTATTTTGGATCACAGTGTGCAGGTCTCAGTACATAGTAGGCTGTCTACACGGAAGGACATCAGAGCAGAGGGGCACGGCACAAGAGACAGTCCATGGCAGTGCAGGCAGGATGCAGCAAGCCTTCCTTCCTCTCCCCTTTTATTCCATCCACACTAGTAAGCCTGTTGGTTGGGGCACCCACACCCACAGTGGTCTTTCTTTTTCAGTAAATCCATCACTCACTCAGCACTACACTAAATCAATCAGCAGGTAAATTCAGTCTGATTCTACTATTTAGATCCAAGTATCCATCTGATATTACTTTCCTTGTATGTGAAAAACCTTTAGTATTTCTAGTAGTGTAAGTCTGGGAATAATAAATTCTTTCAGATTTTTTTTTCAGTACCAGGAATTGAACTTGGGACCTTGCGCTTGCCAGGCAATCACTTATTCTACTGAGCTATCTCCCTGGTCCAATTCTTTCAGATTTCAATGTGTACAGTGTTTTCCAAAATTTTACTTTCATGCAGAAAAAACCCTTTCTGTTATAAAATAAACTTTGTTTCTAAGATACTTTCAATGGGTATAGAAATTGAACTGACAATGGAATTTTATGTTTTTGAAATTCTTTTAAAGACCCTTTCATCGTACACGTGCATACACTGCTTACACCTTAAGCCTGGTTAAGGTTACTCCCCTCGCAGTCCTCCCTGTATAAGGGGAATTTTTACCTCTGGATACGTGAAGATCTCCCTTTTTTACTTGTTTAAGCAATCTGATTATGACCATTTTTTCTGAGATTGTTTCCTTCAGGAGTTTTAACTTGGGGTTTGCCAAATAATGCAAATCTTTTTTTTTTTTTTTTTTTTGCGGAACTGGGGATTGAACTCAGACCCTTGCGCTATTCTACTGAGCCATCTCCCCAGTGCCATTGCAAATCATGAACATGTAATTTTTATCTTTTGGAAATATTGTATTATTTCTTCAAATTTTGTTTTTTTGAACCATGCCTTCCATGTTCCAGGACACCAATCACATATTACTTCAAATCATACCACCACTCACTGAAAAAAGTCATTTTTCTCTTTTCAATGTATTTTCCATGTTTATTTTGAGGTAATTTTCTATACAGTTAAGTTTATTGATCTTATCTTCATCAGTGGCTCATCTACTTTAGCATCTTCAGGTCTGCTTTCCATTGCTTTTCCTTCAAAATTTCAATTTGTGCTCATGTTCATGTTTTCTATGTCGAATCTTTCCTCCAGTTTACTCAGTACTAAAAGAAAAACCTATGCTTTTCTCTACTAAACTTATCCCTGGTATCATTTCTCTTATTTTAAATTCTATGTTGTTTCTGTGCATGCGTACTAAGTTCTCATAAAATATACAGATGCTGCATATTTTATTCTTTCAGGTGCCACATATTTTTCTATTGCTTTTAATATTTTGAGCTTACTTTCACGTGGCAGGACCACAGCTGGGCTTATAACCTAGGAATTGCTTTGCCCACTACCAATGCGTAACTCCTCCCAACAGGCTGATGTCCCATACATTATGGGGTTTTCCACTCTGGCACATGAGGGCAAGCACGCGACTCTGGGAATTGAGACTTTCAACACTTTCTAGTGGTGCTCTCCCTCTCCTTGGGTAGTCTCCTTGCATCGAGATGCTCACATGAGCAATGGAGGCAGACCCCTTGCACTGCTCCCTTTAGATCCTTTTGAAGATGAATCTCCTTGGCCTCCCTGAACTCCTAACTCTTGCCCTATGTGCTTCCTTTCACTGGGCACTGGATGTCTTGTAGACTTTGGCAAATTACAGGGCTTTCTTTCTTTTCTCGTTGTTATGGTTTGTGTCTAGGTATCCCCCCAAAGCCTCAAGCAGTTAGGGTGCTTCTGGAGTTTGTGACTGATTACTGTGGGTATGGACACTGCACCTGCTCTGGGCCAGGTAATCTGCATTACAGTGGCTAGCTGGCTGTCTGAGCTGCTGCCACTCCCTTTTGCCCTCTCCTGTGTGCCAAGCGGCCTTGCAGCCAGCTGAGTATGGACTGAAACCTCCAGTAACTGTTGAGCTAAATAAACCTTTCCTTCCCTCATTCTGAGTTTTAGGCATTTGTCTCAGCAAGGAGAGAAGAGTAACTGGGACACCTGCTATCTCAGAAATCACCATTCTTCACTGTTTAGCACTCATGACTGCAAATCTTTTGATTCATTATCCTATACTTTTTAAAAAATGTTTCACACAGAACAATAATTTTGGTCAGATTTTGTAGGATGCACACACTTGGTGCAACTACAAAAGGTTTATACATTTTTCTTTTCAAGGATATATATATGTATATATACATCACATATATAAGATCTTTTTTGTGTTTTCTATACTGTATAATCTCTATATTAAAGTAAATCTTTACAGAATTAAAATTCTTACATATTTGACTGGATAGATTATAAAAGCCTGGTGGACATTTAAGGCATGCTGCGATTTTTAGTACCACTTGTGCAAACTGAAGGGATCGAAGAAAGATACCTACCTGGTTTTAGCATGGAGATAAAACAGTTCTCTCTGTCTATTCTAGGTTTTACTATCAGCTACCATGGATGGAGGAGTCAAGAAAAAAAAAAGATTTATTTAAAAAGTATATACAGACCTTTCTGCTTCTGGTGTGGAGAAGTTCTCCTAAGACAGCTTACAAAGTGTATGAGATAAATGCTAGCCTCGGTGTGCATGGACGCTGCCGCACGGGCACAAAGCGGCCTCCCCTCAGCAGCTGCCTGACTCCCTGCCCACACGAGCGCAGGTACTGCCCAGACCCTGGCAGGGCAGGACCGGGAGAAAGAACAACGGAGAAATGAAACCATCAAGAAAATGTTTCAACAACTGAACATCTGAAAAAGATGGAAGGGAAAAATAGGCCTTGCAACAGGGGATCGCGCATTATAGAAGGGTTTTTTCCTTTCCATTTTTGTAACAGTACTGTTTAATAAGCTAAGTTAGACCTCTGTGAAAGAATACTAGTTTTGACATCAGTATCATAGTAACTTCTATATTTTGGGTATAGAAGTTTTGTTAGTATCTGCTGACATTCTGTAAATTAGTATTTATTACATACAAATTACTTATAAATGAATTACTGATTTATCATATGGGGACTGTGTACTAAAATAAAAACTCCTATAGAAAAAGTCCTTATTTAGAATATGAACACTATTCAAATTGTGCCTGAAATTGGGGTCCTGCTCTGCACCACAGAATTAAGAATTTTACAACTGAGAACAGTCCTCTCTGAGGTGAAATCTGTGGTAGGTTTAAAAACGATTTGGTATATCCATTACATATCTTTATTGCTCATTATTTGGAAGAGAGCCCATTCTGCCATTCTCACAGTGAAATAACTTTAATCGACGGGCACTTCTAACTTCTGTGTCCCTCCTCCGATCTGTGCCCTGGGCACCTTGGCAGCAGAGCAAACAAGCTTTTGTTACTTGTTTCTCTTTACCTAGATCTGCGGACTTCTCTTGCCGTCATAGTTATGTACAACGTGTCCTACTGGCTCTAACAATTTTTGTCTTGTTTTATTTCTTTACATTGACATAGCATTTCTTTATGTTTTTTTCTTACTTTATGAAAAAATAAGATTTCATGACAAAATAAGTGAGTTACTATATACTATGCTGCTATCTTCAAAATACTCAGAGTATAAGACATAAAGCAAAAATATTCGTGCAAAAAGAAACAAACGGGCTGGGGAGATAGCTCAGTAGAATAAGCACTTGCCTGGCAAGCACAAAGGCCTGAGTTCAATCCCCAGTTCCGCAAGAAAAAAATAAAACAAACAGATTAATTACACAAAGCATGGTTTTATCCCAAACACATGTAAGAAAACTGAAAATTTCAAAAACAGAAAAATTGGCTATAACAGTTTTTGTACTTATAAATATTTGAATTTTCTTAGCTGTGCTTAGGCTAAAACAATGTGAATGGTGGTAGTAAAAGTACCAATTACGGTAGTCTTGCTTATGTTAAGAATAAATATAAAATATTAAAAATATCTTACAAGAGAAGATATAGGGGAGATAGCTTGGCAGACTAAGTACCTGCCTGACAAGCACAAGGACCAGAGTTCAATCCCCGGTACCACATGCTGTGCCAGCCCTGCACCATGTAGGCCACTGAAACCTGGCATGGTGGCACATGCCTGTAATCCCAGGGCCAGGGAGGCTGAGTCAGGAAGATCACTATGACTCTGAGTGCACAGTGAAACCCTCTACCAAATAAACAAATAAAAGATTTTTAAAAACCTTGAAGAGAATTTTTTTTTTTTTTTTTACAATTTGCTACTTGAATAGAATCTGCTTGTCCTTTTCATTCCATTGGTTTGAGTTCATGCTCATTCATAGGGTAGTGACTGCCCATATCTGTATCTGATAACATCAAGGTGAAATGAAAATGCAAGTTTCTTACGTTACAGTTGGTGAGCACTAAAGAAATGCTCAGAGTTTGGAAAATTCACTCAAACATGGTAGGTATTATGTAAAAAGGAGAAAGTTACAATTGCAAGAAGAATGAGAGAGTATTGAGGGCCAGGAGACAGCTCAGTAGAATAAGCACTTGCCTGGCAAGAGCAAGGTCCTGAGTTCAATCCCCGGTACTGCAAAAATAAAAGAGTATTTCTTCTCTTCCTATTGGATTTTTTCTATTAAACATGACCTTTAGTGATGTCTAATCCAATAATATAAATTAGTATCAGCTTTAAGCAGTACATTAGTATTTCTTCATCTGATGTAAATTTTAAGTTAAAAAATCATCTAAGAAAACTAAAGTGGAACCTTATATTCTAATAAATTGATAGTTCTCACTGAAATAGAAGTGTATATATGCTCCTAATGTTTTAAGATATAGCTTGTACATAAACGCACAGAACTAGCTTGCATTCCGAGCCAGCGCGACGCCAAGCCGCAGCGGCGCGCTCTGTACCTGCACGAGGCGGGCGGGCGGTTCCCGCGCGGATGCAAGCAGCAGCGGGTGTCCGCAGACGACGCCCTCAGCCAGGAAGCACTTGAGGAGCAGCGGCGCGTACGTGCAGTACTTGTCCTCCTCTGTGAACAAGAAGAAGACGCAGTCAGGGCACGCTTCCGCGCCTCCCTCTCCTCCGACCAGGCGGCGGGCGCAGGCGGGGAGGAGCCGAGCGCCGAGCGCCGAGCCCCGAGCCCCGAGCCCGGAGCCCCATGCCCACGCCCACGCCCCACGCGCGCCACCCGCCACCCGCCACCCGCCACTCGAGAGGGCCTCGCGGGAGCGTCCAGAGCTCCCTCCTCGCCAGGCGCGGCGCACGCACACCTCAGCCCCTCGAGGCGCACAGGGAAGCACTTCCGGCCACGGCCTGCCGCGTGACCTTTATAAAATCCACCAAAACAGTGTCACTGTCACACTCTAGCTCTGGCTTTAAAATCCAATACTAATTTTAAATTGAAGACCTCAACTTTTTTTTTTTTTGGTGGACCCAGGGATTGAACTCAGGCCCTTGCGCTTATTCTACTGAGTCATCTCCCCAGGCCCAAGACTTCAAAATTAATACAGTTTCTGAATTTGTACTGTTTGCTCAGTAAGTAGACCTTTCTTTTTATTAGTTCCTTTTCCCTTTTCAGAATTTTAATAATTAAATGATCATTCTAGATGTTTATTGGAAAAAAAAGTCAGTTTTGAAATTTCATTATTAAGTGAAAACAGTTTCATATCTTTGTTTTCCTAATACTGCGGATAAGCTGCACATCTACACGTTTATTTCAGCTTTCTTTCCTTCAATAACCTGAATATAACAGAAAGACAAGAAAATAGGTAGCCATTGTCTAAAACAAGACAGACACGAGTTGCTTATCAGTATACCAGGCAGCATGCATGCCTGTGAGATGACTCGAAAACATGCCTAAGGTCTCACCTTGTGAGAGGACACTAGCAAGTCCCTATACAAAACCATGCACAGCTCCAATTATGAAAGCTGGACAAACTATCATTTAAAAGTTAACTATGTGAAGCCACCATGAAATGACAAAAAGCAGGCAGCAGAGGTTTCCTTCTGAAGGACAGGGACCACCGCAATAGGGAATTCCGAGAGGATGGCTCTAGGCCTAAGAACCCTGTTCACTTCCCTTGCAGCACGAGATCAGATGCTTCCCAGTTTGAGGCGGCAGTACACACAGCTCAGGTCTGTCGAAACAGCTATCCAGTTCAGGGTGAGCCCTAAAGGAAGAGCACTCTCAAAGGGCTGTCACCCGAGTGCATGTCTATAAGACACGGTGCCTGGTCCCTGGCTGCCCATGAAGCTGAGTGGGATGGGGCTAGGAGGGAGAAATAGGCAGAAAAGACGCCACAGGATAAACACAGAAGACCTAGCCATCCTGTGAGGGTATTGGCTGCTCCTCTGAAGGCACAGAGAAAGAAAGCGTTACACTGACTGACGGACTGATTTTTGGAAGGCAGCTATGCTCACCACTATACCACCAACGCAGATCGGACTGATTTTTGGGACAAGGTCTCGCAACATAGTTCATGCTGGCCTTGAACTCATTATGTAACCTAGGCTGGCCTCAAACTCCAGGCAGTCTTCCTGCCCCAGCCTCCTGAGTGCTGGGACTACAGATGTGTGCCGCTCCCACAGCCAACAGCAAGCTTCAGCCCTCCTGATTGGAGTTATCAAAGAAACCCAGGCTGAGAAGCAGGAAGTAAGCTGCAGAATCTGCACGCGAGTTCAGCTCGAATACTCAGCTGCCTACTACACCACATGGTGTGACCAGGAGCTTGTGTGGCCCAGGCGACATCTGCAACCTGGGAAACCTGAGGGGGTACCTCAACTGCTGCAGAGACGAGAGCTCAGGTCTGAACGCCGGCATGTACACTGTCTAAATGAAAGAGTACACAGCGTACACAGGAAGCAGAAATCCTCACGAAACAGCGGAATTCACAGTTGCAACAATGCACTATATTCAACTTGAGCTTCTCAACTCAAAATCATGGAAAAATGACTAAGGAAATATAATCTGTAGAAACAGACTCCAACTGGGCTCAGAAGTTGAATTTAACAGAAAAAAAACTCAAAGCAAATATCATAAATATCTTTAAAGTAAAAAAGACAATGTGAGATTAGTAAATGAAGAAAAAGAACATCCACAGATAAATATAAACTATAATAATGAATAAATTATATTTGGAAACTATATTACACCTTCTTGGTAATTGGTAGTACAGAAAGAGACAAAAACCTATCATTGCAACAGATATTGAAAAGGCATCTTTAGGGCTGGCCAAATAGCTCAGCAGATTAAAACACCTGCAAGCAGGCGCAGGGGCCAGGAGTTCGGCCCTGCCCTCCGGGGTGCACTGAGATGGCAACTGAGACGGTGTGGTGGCGCGCACCTGTAATCCCAGCTTTTGGGAGGCTATAAACAGACGGATCACTACAGTCCTATCTAGTAGTGAGACCTTGAACACCCTCTAGGCCCTTCCCTAAAAGAAAAATTTTTTAAAAAGGCATTTTTAAAAAGTGAAGGGTAATTCATAAAAACTTGGAGCTAACTAGGAATAGCATGAAGCCTCTTCAGCCTGCTTGGAAGGACAACAAATGACAGGCAGGCAACATCACACTTAATGGCAACAGAACACTCTGTTGCTGAGCCTGGGAATGAACAGCCACGGACTCCCCCACATCTACCATGTTGCAGAGAGGTCTGGGCTGTGCAGCGAGCCCTAAAGCCTGAAATGTTTTGAAAAAAAATCATCAAGGAAGTGCATGAGGAAGCCCTTCAAGAAGCAGGGGCATTCTGAATCAGCCATTCTGAGTCAGTAGCAGAACCTGGATGGACAGAGAGCTGCATCATCTTCATGGGATAAAGATTCAAAACTCCAAAGGTGATTTAAAGATTTAATATAATCCCAGTGGAAATTCTAGTAAGTCCTTAGAAGAAATTCAGAAGCTAATTAAAAAGCTTAAATAGAAATTCAAAGACCATTCATCAACCAAAAATATTTGAAAGAGGGGCCGGCAAGATAGAGCAGTCTAAAGCACCTGCTTAAGTTTAGGCAAGCGTGCAGGGACTGCAGTTCAATTCCCGGCACCACATGCCATGCCAGCCCAGCCCCCAGGGTGGGCTGAGCCAGACACACAGACAGACAGACAGACAGACAGACAGAGACACAGACACAGACACACACACACACACACACACACACACACACATACACACACAATATTTGAAAGAGAACACAGTTGGAGGATTTATTGTCTGGTTTTAACATTTACTATACAGTGACAGCAATTACGTTGAATTGGAATTGGCAAAAGCTTAGAAATATAAATCAATAGCAAAGAACACCAAGTCCCAAAATAAACATCCATATTAACTGATTTTTTTTTGGTACTGGGGATCAAAGTCAGGTTTGCCAGGCCAGCGCTTATGCTGCTGAGCTTTTCCCCCAGCTCCATACTAACTGATTTTTGATAGAAGTATTTTTCAACAAATATCTCTGAAACAAGTGAATAGCCACATAAACAACAAAAATCTCAATCTTACCTTATACTACACTCAATCAAGAACTAAAAATTTCAATCTCACCTCTTATGCTACTACTTAAATACTAACCTGAAATGGGTCACACACCTAAGTGCAAAAAGCTTAAGCCCATAAAAGTGTTAGAATAAAGCACAGGAAAAGCTTGCAATCTTGCATTAGGCGTAAGTATCTTAGGGTATGACAGCATGCATTATAAAAAAAAAAAAATTACATTTCATAAAACTTTTCTGATTTTTTTTGAATGGTTACCAAAATGCAGCACCTTTTGGTAACAATAAAAAATCAGAAACAACTCCAAAACTCACCAGCTAATGAACTAGAAAAACAACATTCTTAAATGGAATACTCTTCAACAACACAAAATGATGACCTTCCAACATGCATCAGCACGCTACATGAAGAAGCCAGACAGGAAAATGTGCTTGGTACCGTTAGCCTTAGGGGACATTTAGGGAGAAGGCGACTGGGAAACTCATCTCTACTAACAGAAAGCAGACTTAGGTGCTTAGGGCCAGGGACTGACATGGGTACCAAAAGGCTTTTTGGGTAATGGGGATACTTTATACTTAACTTGGTGGGGGTTACATGAGTGTACATATTTATAAAAAATTACTAAAACTTACAGATGGTGCAGCTTAGTATATACAAATCATAATTCAGCAAAGAGGATTCTTTGGACTACTATCCTAAATTCTTAGGACAATTCCATAAGGTGCAGCTAAAATGCCTCATGGTAACCTGTGTACAAACATCGTCAGCACAGTAACTCAGAACAAACCCTTGACCAAAGTACGGTTGATGAGCAAGAAGCTGAACTTTTTTATTTCTTAATGTATTTAGTACAGGGCCTGCAGGGTCTACAGTCTCACTACACAGATTGGACTTGTAGTGATCCTCCTGTTTCCAGCCTCCCAAGTGCTGGGATTACAGGCGTGCACCACCACGCCCAGTCTCAATCACTGTCTCACTGCGCCTCAGGGGCAGGCCAACAAGGCACGGCACACTGCATCTGAGTTTAACTTTATATACTAAAGAACACAGCTGTTTCTTTAATAGTACCTATCACGAGTCAATATATGTGAAGGTATGACTGAAACGTACAATGCATGTTTAAGTTTTACATAAAAGTAAAGGTGTACTGCCGTTGGAGGCCTCGCAGCACCAGCCCTCCAATCCCATCATCCCTGCGCACTTCTGAGGCAGCTCTGGAGTCCTCTCCCTGAGCATCTGTAGCTGCACTGTCACCACTGCTGTGGTGCCTTCCACTGATTTTAAACATCCCTGTTTTAAGTTCATTCTAACTCTGGGGAAGAGCCAGAAGTCACAAGGATGTCAGGTACTTTGTCTCAGCAGCAAAGATGACCAGGGGAGGACCTAAGAAGGGGAGGCATGATCTCTAGCAGAAGCCACAGTATAGTTTATTCATGAATATAAGAAAGTTTTAGGGGATCGCTAGCACATTCTCCTCTGGTGAAATGTGTGTGTGTGTGTGTGTGTGTGTATGACAGTAAAAATCATCACAGAGAACTAAGGAGCAAGCAATAATGACTGATGTTTAAGGGCTAGAAAGCTTAAAAGGGAACTGAGACTACTGAGAACAAAAAGGAGCCATCTGGAGCTACACGAGAGTTTTCAGCCTGAGTTAAGGGCCCAGCTGAGCGTAGGGATCATGACAGTCTCTAATAACGGAGGCACATAATTTAGAAGTCAGGTACGTCAGAAATGAGAACTTAACTTTTTAAAAATTCAAGTCCTTTATAGACTTATCTGAGAGCAATTTCAAAACGAGGTGTGGTGCTGGTATATAATATAACAAAGGCACAGCTCACCTCAGAAGGGATTTTTAAGATGACTTATCAGGTTTTTATATAAAATGACTTAATATCAAAGAAATTTATTTATGAATCTTACCCATTAATCTGTTTGGTGTTGGACTAGTTTCTTCCCAAACTTCAATTGTAACTGGGCACGGTGGCACACACACATAATCCCAGCACACTGGGACACTGAGGCAGGGGGAACCCAAGTTCAAGTGTAACCCAGGCAACTTAGTAAGACACCGTCTTCAAAAGCATCCTTAACTTTTTAAAGCTTCAATGCTATCACCTGTCAAATAGAGACACTGTACCTGACTGTTCTAAAACTGACTGGTAAAACACATGATATGGAAGAGAAACCGAGCCCAGCAAAATACAACACAGACAATAGACAAGAAGATATTATAATATCCTAGGAAAGAGCCTGGGCCAGGTGGGAATGGTGACATGCGCACAGGGCACTCTTCCAGCATCTGGGGTTCCCGCCTCGTGTGCTCTAACCCCTTCCTGAGGGTTACAGGGCAGTGACTCGCTCCTGACCAGGAAAACAGAGCAGGGTGATGCTTCCCATCCATTTCCTAGGCCAGCATGGACCTGCTTGGTAGCCACGAAGAAGCCACCATGAGCTGGGAGCAGACAGCCTGGGTAATGGGGGAAAACCTCTGTGCGCTACTGGTCCAGAAGGGGAAGCTGAAGAGGAAAAGCAGGGCCTCAGGCGGCTGGGGCAGGAGGGCTGCAAGCTTAGATCAGCTGGGGATATGCAGCAAAACCCTGGCTCCATCGAAACAACCCAAAATGTTGGGGCCCTGGCCTGGCTGGCGCCGTGGCTGTGGGCTTATGAAGGAGCTGGGTGCTGCTTGCATGGCTGACCCTAAAGGGGAAGAGGGTAACGTGGGCAATGTGCGCTCCAGTACAAAGTGAAAGCTCTTCTATGAGCATGGAGGAAAATACAGCAGAACGCTTAGCGCTGGGTGGTCCTCGGCACTGGTTGTCTGACCTATCCAGGGGTCAGGGGCATCAGCAGTTGTACATAACTGCCAGGGTATTTATAGAACTGAAAACATGTAACTAATCCAAGGGATTACTAAGAATGTCACATAATTTATATTTTAATCCCTGATAATTTCTATTAAGTCTGATTCATGGTACCTGAAGGAACAGATACCTGAGTAATGAGGGTTTTTGTTTTTTAATGTATTTATTACAGAGTCTACAAGGTCTCACTGCACAGGTCAGACTTGTAATGATCCTCCTGCTTTTAGCCTCCCAAGCACTGGGATTACAGGTGTGCACTACCACGCCTAGACTTAATTGCCCTCTCAGGGCGCCCTGGGGGCAGGGCTGGCACTGCACATAGTGGATCAAACCCCAGGCCCTGTGTCTGCCTAAATAGATGCTTTAATCCGCTGAGCTATCTGGCCAGCCCTAGGAGCAGATAGCTGGCACTTGCTATCACTTCACTTCCCTTACAGACTTATCTGAGAGATTTCAAAGCCAAGTGTGGTGCTGCACTCCTAGTACCAGAGGCTGAGGCAGAGGACCCCAAAGTCCAGTGCAGCTTAGCCAAGCTGTACCAGCTTGTCTCAGAAAAAAAGCTGGGAATGCACCTGTGGGTGAGGGCCCTGGGTTCAATCTCTAGAACCACCACAACCAAGAAGAACAATTTCAACACAAACCATCTCAGGAAGTCAATGTATTTTAATGAAAACCTGTTCTTTAAGGGTTTTCTCCCCGGAGAATGGCCTTTCCCGCACCCACACTCTCATCCTTTGCAACAGGCAAGTCGAGGCACACCCTCTCTGATTTTTTTTTTAAATGGAACCAAAATGTTTATTCATTCATTTCTTGTATTTGAAGTATTCTTTGATGACATCCTTGGCCTGCAATTCTTTGTCATAATCCTTAACCACCACACAACTGCAACTAACCACTTACGGGGTTTTGCCTCATGGTCAATTTTACAGAGGCCTACCCATTCCCCGAGTTTCCTGTTGTCGTCAACCTTAATTAGGTTGATTTGGAGCTTAGCACAAATGGCCTCCACTACCTTTACATACATAGGCTCATCGCAGTTGGACGCAAGCACACAGAGATGGGCTTGGCGCACAAACTCATCCCCAAATCAAACTTCTCCCATAAGAGAACCAAAGGCTTCACCCACGTTAAACACCATGGTTAGCCCACTGCTGCATGAAGGTTCCCCATGTACCCTGTCACTGCCTCTGACTTAAGGAGTCTCTCTCCACCCACGCTGTAAACACACCGCTTGGAAGGGCCACACTTGCCCACACACATAGCTGCTTTGGACAGTGCCCGAGAAGATGGTTAAAATGCTGGCGATCTGTAGGGAAAGTCACCAGCGCAGTCATCGTCACACGGCAGCTGTCTCTTACTACTGGAATACAAAACCATCTCTCGGTGCTGAGCAGCACAGCAGTGTTGTAGGGCCGTGCTGCTGGCCCTCACCCCCGGACTTGTGCCTATGTTAGAACTACTCTACTTCCTGCGGCAGTTCATTCACCATACAAGTCACAGTGACCTCAGAACAGAGAAAAGTGCACAGCCTACCAGATTAGACAGCTATTCTGCTCAGTCAATCCCATCTAACCTATTTATACAATAAATAATACAGTCTGGTAATGTATGGTGTTTTCAAGGGTGAGATGAGTAGTAACTGGCCTTCCAGAGCCATAGCGAAGTTAATGGTTGGGCTGACAGAAAGCAGGACTAAAGTGATTAAGTGGCATGACTGTAAAAACCAACCATTACATTTAGCAGTAATACACTACAACTATAAAAAACAGTCTCTACCAGATATCTGCTTGGAGATCTACAAGCAGTCCCTGCGCACCGTTTCATTTGAAAGACAAAACTTGCGCGTTACAACAGAGACGCAGGCGTATGAAACATGAATGTTTTCAGTGCTGCGACTTCAGTCCTTACTGTATGTTGATTACATTAGATCTGTTCATGTTTACAAATGTAAAAATATACTTAAACACAAATAGCCTGGCCCAGAGCTGTGCACTTGTATTTCCAGCTATTGCGGCAGCTCAGGCAGGAGAAGCACCATTTTGAGACCAGCCAAAGCAATTTAGGAGGAACCTGCCTGAAAAACAAAGTTGAAAAAGGACCGGGGCTATAGCTCAGTGGCAGAGTGCCTGCCTAGCAGCACAAGGATAAATTCTCAGTACTGCAACAAACAAAATGAAAATCCCACATATCTGGGCCTTATTTTACTATTTAAAACTTTAACATTTTATTATTATTTTGTGTGTGTGTGTGTGGAACCGGGGATTGAACTCAGGCCATTGCACTTGCCTGTGCTTATTCTACTGAGCCATCTCCCTGGCCCCTAAATTTCTTTTGGCTTATGGTTCTGAAAGTCTTTTGCTGTTGTTGTTGGGTTTTTTTGGAGTGGGGGTGGAATGGGGGATTGAACTCTGGCCCTTGAGCTTGCCAGGGAAGCACTTATTCCACTGAGCCATATCCCCGGGCCCCCTAAAACTTTAACATTTTAAAAGGGCTACAATTCCTACTTGACTACTGTGGCTGGATTTGGAATCACACCATAACTCAAGCCCTGGTTTTCTGACCATTGATACCGGGCACGTTACTTCACCTTCCTAGCTTCATTTCTTCATGAATGAAACAGAAATAGCAAGTACTTTCTAGACTTGAAATATCTGATGCAGAATAGAAAAACTCATGAAATCATAACGTACAACAGAAAACTAACCAGAAAAAGCAAAGCATGTACTGTGTACTAACCAATCAAGAGGACGGTTCCAACAGCTACACCTCCACCTGAAAATGAAACCAAGAAAAAAAATTAATGTCCCTTTCACATCAAAGTGAGGTTTTATCAAGAACAAGTATTTCAATAACTTTAAAACTGCAACCAACATTTTTTATGCTTTGCTCAAGGCGCTATTATGAAATAATTACATATTATATGTAATTCCATACTACACGTTACCATTACTTTCATAATATACTGTACTATCCTTTTACTGTGATAGAACCACAAAGCATTTTAACTGTAAGCCAAGCAAAGGTCATATTTAGCACTTGTTAGTAAATTAACTCAATAGCCAAGACCTACTTGCTCATAGTAACTTTACTATCCAAACACAACATAGAAAAGGCAGTTGCAACAGAAATTCCACTTTAATAATCAAACTTAGATAAAACAATTGATAAATACATTTTTTCTTTAAAAACTGGGAATAATATACACAGTCTGGACATACTCTAAATAAATTAGAATTTAAAATTAATATTAATTTAATGATATTAATGATATTAATTAATTAATTTCCTTTAATGATATTAATTTTAACAAAAAGGAAAAAGCTGCATTTCTGTATTGCAAGAAAATGTTCTTTCACGTATGTGAACCAGGGAAATATAATCACAAATGTATAAGTCAAATCATCACTAAAAATTTAAGTTTTAAGTAACTAGAACTACAATAAAAAGAACACAGTACACTGATACTTTTTTTATCCCTTTATAAAAGTACCAGCATTTCTGATCAATCTGAAAATCATTAACAAACTCACTTTAAAATGTAAAAAAGCATGTCAACAACTAACTAGAAAAGTATTTAAAATGTAATTTAAAAAGTAGCTTCTCTGGGCTGGGGAGATAGCTCAGCAGAATAAATGCTTGTCTGGTAAGTGCACGGTCCTGAGTTCAATCCCTGGTACTGCAAAAAAAAAAAAAAAAAAAAAAGAGCAACATTACCAGTTGGTGTTTGCATGTGTGTGCACAAAACTATATACTAACATTTAGAATAGAGCTTCCCCATGAAGCTTCTGTAGTGGCAAGTATCATGTAGAAACACATACGAAAAGTTCCTGAGTGCCATTTAAACCTGGCAAGGATGCACAAACATTATGCTACAGATAACATGAAATCTGGTCACAAATGAAATGCCTATCTTATCCTAATTTATGGGGAGACCTGAAATCAATTTTAAAACAATATATAGAACATTTCAAATCATTAGAGAAAGAAATGAAAAAGTAGATTTGTAAATCTTATATTTACATGGATTTATCAGAGTACTGTGTCTGTTAATTTCACATGTGGACAAATTCCTTCATTACAGCATTTAAAGTACAACAGGCTAAAGAGGATGACGCCTAGCACTGTTGAGAGAAAACGATTAACAAGAACCAGAACACATATGATGACAGCAATCATAAAGGTTGCTTTTGGACCTGGTTAGATGTTTAATTTCACAGCTGGTGGCACACATAGACTGCTGCGAACTCTTTAGATTGATTATGAACATTTTGCAGCACACTTTACAATGGCTCACTTCCCCACTTTCTACTAGCCACCTTTGTATGTTTAAGGAGATGAGCTAAATCACAGATAGTGCAGTGTCTGGGCGGGTACTGTAAAAAGCTAGCCAGCCACCTTTCTTACTCTGTTTCCTTAACTCATTACATCTGTTATAGAAGAGCCACTGAAAAGTTAAAGGATTTTGTGACACTCACAGTGGGTGATGAGACACTTTCTGATTAAATAAGGTGATATCTGGGACAGCTGACCCCTCAGTGCTTAGAAGAGCTCTGCTGGCCACTCTGGCAATTCTGAGATCAGAAAAAAATCACTACAGATTATTGTTATTTGGTAAATGGTGATTGCAGCAACAATGATAATTAGGAATACTTCCCATTGATGAATTGGCTCAGAGGTGGCATTTTAGTGCCCCAACTGCAACCCAAGAACCAATTTATCAAAAAGTGCCAACACTGCTATTAAACTAAAACACTGAGCTCCTGGCTTAGAAAAAACTCACACATTACCACCTTTTGTCTAAAAAAAAAAAAAAAAACCACAATAATGCCATGCCATAGGTCACCACCACTATTGAATAAGCTATAGTAAAGCAGTATACAAGTCTGAGTAAGCTAGGAAGTCTATTTTCTGCAAGAATGATCCAAAGAATTATCTGATTTTGATAATTCAGGAAAACACTGCTCAAAAACTTAAAATCATAAAAATTCTAATGTTTGGGAAGTTTGAACATACCTCAGAAAAGGACTTACTACATGACTTTCATCAGCCAAATGAATCTTACTAGCTTTCCTCTTACAACAAAGACAAGTTTTCTTTCCAAATAAGCTCTATCATACACATTCATTTGATTCAAATTTAGATTAGTTCTAATGAGACTGGGTCATGTTGGAGGTTGGTCATGTGAAGGAAGTTGTAACTTAGCTTACCAACTTAAAGCTTTATGTATTTGTCTGCCTGTACATGACGTGAAAATGATTTGATACGTATATAACACACACATAGTAGCAAATCGTGCTATTCCTAACTGGACAAACTCTCATGATATTTCCTCAAAATACTCTGATTTTCATATAGCTCACTTGATACACCAAAGTTCTAGACGCATGGTATTTTAAAGCTGAAATATTTCTGTATCCATCCTACCATAATAAATAAAAAGCTAAAATAACTAATCTCAATGTGTTTTAAGCACAGATATTTTACATGATATAATCCTGGAAAGCTGGTTTTTACCCTATTGAGCACAGTAGTTCGTTAATAATTTAACCCAACTTTAAAATCAAAGCATATTTCATGCTAATGACTCCTATTTAAGATGGAAGTATCTTTTCTCAGTATTTCACTATAACATTTTTCAGATAAATAATGTGGGTCAGTAAACAATTTTAACCATTTGCAAAGAAGTGAAAAAGGGGTGAAATAGTCATCCCCACTGAGAAGAAAATCACCACATACTTTTGAAGTCAATTAACAAATGCAAGACTTTACTTCTAGGCATCTTGGGAGTATATTTAAGCTTATTTCTAATACTGGCTAGGTATTTCATTTACATGTAAGAATACTTTTTGGAAGGTTGAAGATGCTTTAAAAGTTTGATTTCCTTAAGATTTTTGAAAATTAAGGGCCGGCCAAATAGCTCAGTGGATTAAAGCACCTGCAAGCAGGTGCAGGGGGCCAGGGATTCAATCCCCAGGGCCTGCCATGCCGGCCCCGCCCCTGAGGCACATTGAGATGTCAATTGAGACTGGACGTGGTGAGGCACGACTGAAATCCCAGCACTTGGGAGCCTGTAAATAGGAGAATCACTAGGAGTCCGATCTAGTAATGAGACCCTGCCCTGTAGATCCTTCCCTAAAATACAGAAAGGAAAAAAAAAGATTTTGAAAATTAGACACTTAGGGCTGGGGGTGTATCTCAGGATATGCTTGATGCTCATATGGGAGTCCCAGGGCCTCTAAATGGATGGATGGCTGGGTGGGTGGACAGAGAGATGGGCATTTTGTCTTAAAACCCAAAAAATTAGTAATTAAAAATGCATAAGGAAATTTAAGATCATCTTGTGATTAACTACCAAGACTTTCCTATCTTATGATTTTTAAAATACAATGAACAGGGCTTCTGCCATGGTATTGTAACTCATGTAAAGTAATTTATGTCTTTAACTTAGCTCATAGCGATATCCTTAACTTTTTTATTTTGGTGGTGGTAATGGGGATCAAGACCAAGTCTTTTTCTACTGAGCTGCATTCCTGGCCTTTTTGTTACTGTTGTTGAAACAGGGTCTCCCTAAGTCACTGAACTGCCCAGACTGGGCTTGAATTTGTGCTTCTCCTGCCTCTCTCCCTGGACTGTGAGGGTCACAGCAACAGGCTCCTTCACTCCGTAATGCCATAGCTCCAATGAAGTTGCAGCTATTTCATCTTCTAACATGCCTACCTTTCTCTAGAAGAAGAAACACCCCCATGAACATAAACTATATGAGCAAATAGAATCATAAACTATGGCTGAGCAAATAGAATCAAACTATAAAGCTTCTAATAGTTAACAGTGACAATGTTTCTCTACATTAAATCACAGGACAGTCTTACATGGTGATACAAAGGAACAAGCCACATGTCCCTGAAATGCATAGCTCTCAGGATGTTAAATGTATAGTCCAAGTCCAATGCCTATTATCCCCCGCTGCGGAGTACGGTAAAGGAGCCAAGCCTACCGCTATTTACTGACTGAAATACAGGTTGAAATGGCAGCTACCTGGCCAAGTTTCTATCAGAAACTCATGGACTCCTATTTACTCAAATTCCTGTCCGCCACTTATCTGTCAAAGTTTGAATTCATGAGAGAAATTAAGCATCAAATCTGTGAAGTCACTGTCTTTTGAGCACCTCCCAGGTTTGGCATAATTTATCTGTTAAAGTCTTTTTTCCAAGGCTGGAGAGATAGCTCAGTAGAATAAGCGCCTGGCTGGCAAGTGCAGGGTCCTGACTCCAATCCCTGGCACAGCAATAAAAAAAAAAAGTTAAAATCTTCTGAAATTCCTGGAAGCAGCTAGGGAATATCTACCTAACCAAGACCCTTCCCTTTCTGAAATATGTTATTTACATATACTGTCTTTGAACAATAGAAATGTCCTAAAGGGGCAAATCTGAGTAACTGGATTAAGAAGTCTACGAACCTGAAAAATCTAAATGTAGCAAACTGGGGACACGTGTATCAAAAACTAACAATAAAATCAAATTTTCTGAAAAAAATAACACTAGATGAAGTTTAAAAAGTGCAGCCATTGGGAATGTTCAAATAATTAGCTTGCATGATGTCTTTCAAATATTAAGCATCAATGCTTAAAGTTACAGTGATGTCACAGTGGCAGCAGTAAATGCCAGTACACCACACACTGGCTATCATACAATGTTTATTTGTTATACAAAACCATGCAATACATGTTGGTGATAGTGACTTGACAGTATAGCCTCATAATTCCCATATCCTCCTATTGTTACATTTTGTCACAATAGGGTCCTATTTGTGTGAACCTTGTCACAATCTGGGTCAGTTAACATTTCAGAGTAACAATGTAGTCTCAATCGCTTAAGCTTTTATAATTATCAGTCAAATGTTTCACTTTTAAACATTTTAATACAAGACAATATAAAGTGCTTGTTCCATTGGATCATACAGAACAGAAAGTCAAAATACAAAAATATTAAGAAGTTTACAACAACTGAAATAGTTTTGGACATATTTGTTATCCCAAATCTAGTAACTACTATTACAACAAATCCTTCAAATTCTATTACTTTGATAATTAGCTGCATACAAACAAAATATAATTCAAAATAGTAAACAATACCACTTCATTTGTGTTGATGAACACTGGTTTTAGCATAAGCTTCTTACAAATACTGAAGCACCCAACTCCCCAAGCAAACTGAAGGGTTTAAAAATTAATTTTCAAGTTTATATCTCTAAAAATATACTTGGAAGGTTTATTGAGTTCTCTCGGGTAGATGTGTGAAGACACTATAAGTCATAAATTTAGGTTTAATGAAGAGTCAAAATTCTCTGAAAATACCTCTCAAGAATTTGACCACGCTGTGATATAGTGCCAAAGGCAATAACTCTGAACTCTAAACAGCAGCCTACATGGTTACAAGCTTGGTGACTTAGTCCTACCACTTAATTTCTGAATCTGTTTTTACAGCTCACACATCTACCTCCATCATACAAGTTTCATCATCTTTTTTACACAATACTTTGCTTTCAACAGGAACTTATTAAGAAGCTACTGAATGTCAAAAACTGTATTGAGCACAGTTTAGTATTTTAATGAACTGAACACATACTGCCAGTAATACAGCATTTTTGTTTGCAGAGTTTTAGCATCGAAGTAAGTGAAGTAGCATAACCCCACTCAGCCACAAACTATAGACTGGCATGTTGGCAGCTCCTAATCTCCGAGGTTAATCTGGCAGGAAAAATGTTAGTTTGAAGCTAGCGTGGGACAGAGATGCTGCCTCAAAATAAACTAATAAAATAAAATATACCAAGTGAGTCTCACAGGGTAAGGACATCAGACTTGAAAAACAGCATGTGAAAACACCTGAATTTATGTAGAATTAAGACGCAGTTAGGATACACAATAGCATAAGGAGACATACTTTTCTGGAAGGCTGCTTGTCTTACTACTCTCCTCTATGTAGCTAATCAGAAAGGTTGGGAAGAAGGGTGGATTATGTGGAGAACTGTCACGGAAAGTACAAGAAGACGCAATAGCTTTGGTAATGTATCACGAACATGTACTGGCTTTAACAGAAACATCCCACGTTATGAAAAAAGTTATGAAATAGAAGCATACACCCCTCTTAATGCAGCGGCATAGAGATAAAAATTAATCTGCACACGGCTGCTCTGTTCAACTAGTCTAATCTGATGCACCTTCAATAAAGTCAACCAGCAAGCATATTTTATCAGTGAGCATATCAGGAAATTTCCAGATACACAAATGCAAGAAAGTCTAAGAGCTGGGTTCTGTTTTCTCATGACAATGTGAGTTAAATTTAAACCTGTCATTTAGTAGCCATCAACTTCAGGAAGCAAAACGTACATGAAGAAAGAAAAAAAAAGCAAACACTTATGCACACGTACACACTTAAGTTAGGCGGGGTTGAACTATCTAACCACCCAGGTCTGGTTTTAACTAGTGCTTTCCGGGCACACACCCCGACGCTCTCAGAACCGACATGCCTCGCTTTACAGCCTCAGGAGCTGGGCAGCAGGACGCTGAGAGGGGGCAAAACGCCCTTCGCGGCCTTTTCTAACGATGCCTGTTCGCCAACGACAACAACTTCTGCAGGTCGGCCGGGCCGTGGCTGCCTGGGGCTGACAGGAGACGCCAGGCCGTCCGCCCACCGGCGGCTCCGTCCCGCCAGGGAGAGCGTGAAGTGGAGCACGCGGGGCTAGAGCCGCACCGAGGCGGCCCGCCGCCCCTGCCCTCACGGACCCCACTCACCTCCCCCAGGGCGGGACGGGACGGGCACGGACACCGGCACAGAGGTGTGCGGCCCAGGCCGCGTCCCCTCCCTCGGCGGACCCAGATCTCCGTCTGAACCGACCTAAGAGCTGGTCCAGGGCCGGGAGCCCGGTGGATACCAGCAGCTGTCCGTTCCGCACCGACGGCCGGGTGCCTGCAATGGACACCAGGCGAGGGCCTCTGCCGTCGGCATCGCCGGCTCTGGGACCCTTCCTCTGGAAGCTGGTGGCGCTGCTCCTGTCGACCGCCGCCGCCGCCGCCACAGAACGAAGACTCCCAGCACCTGCGCCGCAGGTTGCCGCTGCCGCCATCTTGGAGCGTCCCGTGAGAACCAATAGGAAGTTTGGGAATGGAAACAGACGGCCAATCAGAGTCCGTGATAAAGTCCCGCCTCCCTTCTTTTCCATAACCAATACAACTGAGATGTGCTACCCGAGCCAACCAATCGCAGTGAGTATTATTGAAAGGTTCGCGCTACGTAAGGACGAAGACCTGCGGGGCGCCGGTGAGAGCCCCCTTGAGTCCAGGGTCGGGAGGGTCTTGGGTCCGGAGGGTCCGCCCGGGTCCTTGCGGGCCGGAGGTGGGTAAGCTCATTCCGCAATCTTTTGGCTCGCGAGCTTGCGGCTGCGGCGGGTTCTAGGAAGGCGGGCGGGGCGCAAAGCCCTCGGGGCTCTGGGGGGCGTCGGAACTTGCCTCTTCCCTGCCCCGGGGGCGGAGAGGAACCTCGCGCTCCTTCCTGTGGCCCGGCCGCGGAGTGGCCGAGCGTCGGCGAGCGTCGCGAACGGAGTTGTGCTTACGGCGCGGCGGGCGCGGGCGGGCCCTGGAGACCCAGGAAGACCCGGCCCCGACCTCTGCGAAGCTGCGCTGATTTTAATTAGTGCTTTGGGAAGGAAGCCGCGGCGCGCCTTTCCTTAAGTGGTGTGAATGACAAGTGTTACACTGACAACCTTGTTCACACATTTAATTGTCGTTGGCTGTTAAACCAGCTGCAAACAACAGAAAATACGCCCCCCCCAAAAAGTGATAACGGCATTAGATGTGTGCGTACTTTTTCTTCGTTGTGTACTGTAAGTCTGACTTTCAACTACAGTATGCATTTTATATATGGGAAAAGCATGTAATTTAGACCTGTGGTTTTGGATTTAAATGTTTTTCAAACCAGAATTGGGATGGGGAATATTTTTACAGGCATTCGTGATTCACAGATGTCCGAACTACGAAAGCCTCCCAGATCTTGCCTGCGCGCCGGGTCACTAAGCTACTATTGACTTTGACAGTTATCAGTGATACTTTGTAGTTATTTGTTTCATAACGAGCTGTTAACTGCGTGGCCTGTTCTGGCCCTTAACTGTGGCTTAAGTGATCATCCTGCCTCAGCCTCTCCAGTATCCCTAACCACAGGCACATTCCGTGATGCCCTGTAATACTTTTTGAATACCTCCCAATCTCATTGAAATTCTTGTATTGAATTCTTTTCAATGTCAGTGACCTTTGGAAACTTTTGGCTGATTATGTTTGATAAATTGAAATTAGTATTGCTAAATAATGACTGGAGTTTTTGCCTTTTTTTTCTTCTAATGAATTATATTCAGAAAAATAATACATTACTGTTTAGGATTTTATTTATTTATTTATTTATTTTGCCTCAGTATGCCTTCAGGGCTGGTCTGGTTGGCTTGAGCATCTGGGGATGGAATCGCAGCATCCTGAGCCTGACTGCTTTTCTTAAGCAGGCACCTAAACAACTGAGCTAAAGGGCAGCCCCCTAATTTAGGAATCTGTCAACTAGAAAACTTTGATCCAAGTTAGTTCCAGTTCACATATTTCACCAATATAAATCTGTAGTCTAAATGACTCCTAACTGTTGAATGATTAGCATGTCTGAAATCTATCTTGTTACTTTAGGCCCAGAAGTCATATGTGCAGCACTGAAACAGGAAACATTAGTTCTACTAGTTTGATAATGTAATGGGTAAGCACTAGGCAGACCAAAAGAAAAGGGATAAAATTGACCATATCAAAGAGAAGCTTCTTGAGTATTTTTGCAGAGTTGAACACTTTGAAATACTACCGATGATTAATGTATAAATTGATGTGCTGTGGGTTCTCTTTAGTTCCTTCTGTATGTCACCTTTCCATTTTCTTAAGGTAATGATAATGATTCATTTACCTTGTTACTTGAAGTATTATTTTGCAGCTTATTGTAATTCATGAAGCATGACATACCCAGCAAGGCTTTCAGAAAATTAGGATATATGCCTGGCATAATCCTATTACAAAATGTATTCATTCACTTAATCTGCTTATTTTTTAACAAAGACAAAACTTTTGTTCCCAAATAATTATGTATAATTGTGTCAAATTATGTTAAAACTCAGTATGAAACATCAGAATAAGGAATTCATGGAGATAGAAATTCAGGCTTATATTCAGTTGTGCCAGAAAGTGTTTTGAGAGCTCCAGGAGAATATCTAGTCTGCCCTACTTGATTTCACAGTTGGAAGATAGATGGTAAAGGGACTGTGCAGCACAGGTGTGGCCACTGACTGGCTGAGCGAGGAGCTGGCTGGGTTCTCTGCGGGAGCTGCTTCGCCTGAGCTCTGAAGGGTGTGCGGAAGCGCTAAGGAGCATAAGAGCCGTTCCTGAGGATTCCTGACTGCGGCTCCGTAAATCTGTGTCTGTACAGGTGGCTCCTGTGATTTCTAACAGTGAGTTTCAAGCACGAGCCAGTACTTAGAGCTGAACTCGGGGCCCTGTGCATGGTAGGCAAGTGCCCTGCTGTCATCTGCCTCCCCGGCTCTGTACAAAGGAGCTTAAGAGATGCCACTGCTGAACTTAGTCAAAGGGTTGCTGGATTTTTTTTTTTTAAGTTTATAGATTTTTTTCCCCCTTAATGGTAGTAGAAAATGAGAGTCATAAGACATGGTGAGTAAAACGATAGCTTTTTTTTTTTTTTTTATCCTTAAGGAGTGACTAAATATCCTTTAAAAAAAAAAAGAAAGAAAGAAAAAGAGTGACACAGGACTGGGACATAGAGAACAGAGTGAATTAAAAGATCATCAGAACCTGGTGGTGCATATGTGTAAACCCGGCTGAGACAGGAGGATTGCTGTGAGTTCAAGGCCAAGCACCAGCCTGAACTACATAGTGAATCCTTGTCTCAAAAAGATAAGACAAAGATCATCAGAAGGGGTGGAATAGATGTAGCCAAAGGAAGCTGAGAAGACAACCAAGGGCAGTTCGGAAGTGTCTGCTTCAGCAGCAGTGTAGGTGATGGGAGATAGAGAATAGGACCAGCAGAACTGTGGGTTGTGACATTGACTGTTTTGGGGGAAAGGGCCATAAATTGAGGTTTGTTGTTTTTGTTTTGTATTTAGGACAAGGTGCAGAGGGCCTCACTGTGTAGATGGGACTCATAGTGATCCTCCTGTTTACAGCCTCCCAAGTGCTGGAATTACAGGCTTGTGCCACTACACCCAGTCTCAGTTGCTGTCTCAGCATGCCCTGGGGGCGGGGCTGGCCTATAGGCAGACCTGGGATCAAACTCCCAGCCCCTGCATCTGCCTAAGCAGGAGCTTTAATCTGCTGAGCTATTTTTTTTTTTTAATGTATCAGTTATTTAATTAGGTTCTTAGTAAGAAATTTAGAACACTAATTTATGAGGGTAAATTCCATTTGTCAGAGCAAAAACGGATCGCAGGTAGCCCCGGAGCTGAGGAACACCTTTGATTTTTGCCAAAATCTGTGAGTCCACCGCTTTCTGATCCACCTTGCGCTGCTCTGAAATCTGGTATCTCTCTCGGTGTCGAAGATCTCGCCCTCCTGGTGTCTGGGCTTCCGCAGCTTCTTCTTCTTAAGGTAAGCATCAGTGAGGTGTTTGGGGATTTTCACTTTGCTGATGTCAATTTTTGTAGAGGTGGCAATGACAAATTTCTGGTGTGTTCTTCGTAGAGGAACACGATTAAGGCTCAGAGGCCCAGTCACAAGTAGCAAGCCACTGGCCAGTTGCTCCAGGAAGACCACTGTCTTGCCTCTGTGACGCCCGGTGAGGTGATCAATATGGTGCCAGGAGTGACGCTAGCTCGAAGTTTCCTCCCGTGCTGACTGAAGGGCTTCCTGCCGAGGCTCAGGAGCTTTCGGGGCGCATCTTCAGTAGGGTAGTACCTAGGCATTTTTCGAAGCTCAACCACCCGGCTACCTCCATTCTTGTCCCCACCGACCGGTTTTGTGATGGTAGCAAGAACTTTCTCCTTCTTTTTCTTCTCAACCTTTGATTTAGCAGCTGTGTACTTTCTCTTGTACAAAGCCTTTCTGGAATACATGGCAGATCGGGAGTATCTACCAATTTCTCTAACTAGGACAGGATTTCGGCTGCAATGGGGCTGCCCCTTCTTGGACTTTTTTGCCTTCTTCACCTTACCCTTTTCACCAGTGCCCCTGGCAGCAGCCTTCTGGGCTTCAGGTTTCTTCTCTTTAGTGTCTGGCTTCTCAGTTTTTTCACCCGCCATCTTGCAAGATGGGAAAGAGAACTCCCGCTGAGCTATTTGGACAGCCCTTAAATTGAAGTTTTTAATCTTTTAAACATGTTTAATTTGACATGTAGTACTCATGGAGTATGCAAGATAAATTGGAAATTACACAATACACAGGCAGTTGATCACCAGGCAGTCCATATCTTTGAAGGAAAAAGAACGACAAACTTGGAGAAACAGTAACATTTAAAAGTTGGGCAGAAAATAAATAAATAAATAATAAAAGTTGGGCAGAGAATAAGAAAGGACTGGAAAGTGCTCATTTAATAATGAAAGTGTATGGTACAGCTGCTGTTATGCCGTAGGACAGGTTGAAATGCTGTAATTGTGTTTAGAAGTCAACAGCAAATGAAGTCTAGCACCCCATGAAAGCAGACCGTTGTGCATTTTAGATTTGCTGTGAAGGCAAGCAGAGCGAGATGAGAAAGGCTACTGGAGGAGGAGAGATGTGGCAGAGACAGAGAGAAAATATGAATGAATGAAAAGATACTGGGGAGTGATTGAAAGTGACCTGAGTGAGGACAGTGTTACCTCCGAGCTCAATTGCTTCCTGGAGGAATAGTGAATACCAAACTAGTCACAGACAGTGGGCACCTCACCCCACCTCCTCCATCGAACACAGGATCTCGCGCTTACCCGGCCCGTGTTGTACCACTGCTTAAATCCCCCTCCCCCAGTTATCATGTTTAGCCATATCCCAGGTCACATCTCTGACCTCTAGGATTCTAATCAGGTATTTTCATTTTTGTTGTTTGCTACACTAGGGATCGAATCCAGGGCCTTCATGCTGAACCGCATTCCAATTGTTTTTATTTTTTATTTTTGAGCCAGGGTCTCACTAAATACCTGTTGCCTATGCTGGGCTGGAATTTGCATTTCTGTGTCAGTCTTCCAGAGTGCTGGGGTTACAAGCGTGCAGGGTCACACCCACCTTGTCTGTCCTTTGAATGTTCGGGTGGGCCTTCCATCTCTTTGTGCCCTAGCTGAACACTAGGCCACCTTCTACTGCAAGCAGCCAGCTTAAGATGTCCAGAGAACATGGAATGTC